TTAGCTAAGAACCAAAGTTTATAAGAAAGTAATAGTTAAAGAATATATAATACTGGTATACATTAATTTTGGTGACTTAACCCATTATAATATTTGTAAATTTTCTCAATACATGCAACTTTATCAATTTCTAATGAATTTTAATCATCATTTTTTTATTTTGTTCGCTATAATTTAAATTCTTTTGTGAAGTTTTCAGACATTTTATTATTATGTGGGATATTTATCGGACAAAAGAAAGTCTCAGGAACTAGTATTTTTAAACGATTTTAAGAAGTTACGTATTACTCAAAAACTATATTTTATTAGACGATGAATATTGATAGAAATATGCAATTTTGAACATTTGAAGTATTGTTACTTAGAACAAAAAGTCATGTTTTCTCATTAGTTTTCGAGTATTTGTGTAAAAACATCACGAAAATTTACATGATCTGCATTTTGTCCGGTCATTTTTGGCAGGCGGGTGATACTATTCTAATAAGCCATGTTCATTAAAGTTAGATCACTTGTTCTCATGTGATATGACATAATTTCAACCATTTCAACTTCATGTATAGTATGATGTGTAAAACAATTAATAATCAAATATAAGATTGTAGTCTTCACCTCATATTTATCTGCCAACTCTATAATTGAAGCTTGATTTTGGATATATTGGATCATCTAAAAATATAACAAAAGGGAGTACCTAAATACAGAAGAGTACTTTTTTCAAGATATACAGTACACATTGGCTCCTGTTGATGTATTATATAATACCCTGTGTCAAATAAATATATATATACTATTACTTTGAAATTCATGAAACTTTGATTTTTCAAAAAATGTCTAGAAGTTGTTGAAGCTCTGTAGGAAAAAATTATGATGTAATTATTTTAATCAAAATTATTATTTATATGTTATTTATCAATTAAAATATATTTATTAATTAAAATATATTAATTAATTAAAATATATTTATTTATATCAAGGTTGAATTAAATAATTCAGAGAATTTGTAGTCACAAAGAACTGTTAAATTCTGTGCAGATATTAATTCAAAATGGCTAGGTATACAACCAGTATCAAATGATTTGATTTAGAAGACAATACAAATTATATATTTTATAATTTGAGTTAAAAAATTTTATTAAATTTTAAAAATAGATAATAGTAATATAGGAAGGAAAATGAGTTTAGAATAAAGGAAAAAGTGTAATGATCTTCAAGATATACAGAAGGCTACTGTATATCTTGAAAAAATAAAAATAAAAAAAGCATAATGATCTTCAAGATATACAGAAGGCTACTGTATATCTTGGAGAAAAAAATAAAGGAAAAGCTTAATGATCTTCAAGATATACAGAAGGCTACTGTATATCCTGGAGAAAAAAATAAAGGAAAAAGCATAATGATCTTCAAGATATACAAAAGGCTACTGTATATCTTGGAGGAAAAAATGTAAGTATAATGATCTTCAAGATTATACAGAAGGTAGATATACAAACAGCAAATTTCAAATGTATAAAAACAACATTTATTTTCATAATAATAATACATTTTCTTAAAAGTGTGTGTACATAGATTAATAAATACATAATTGAGACTTATAAGTCCATAAGGATGTAAATTTAAATGAATACATAATTGAAGTGTATAAGTGAATATAATATGAGAAAAAATTCAAGGAATGTAGATTAAATAAATTAAATTAGTGATGTTAGCCGTTTAAAAATCCTTAGCCGGCTAAGCCGTTTACTACCTAAATTGGTAATTTTATTTCTATAACAAGAAAGTAACGCAGAAATCTATTACCAAATTTAGAAATTATGCATGCAGATTATTAGCTGGCTAACATCACTATTACAAAATTGCTATTTTGAAATCTGGCTATATGGCGCAGCAATAGGAGGTCTTTAGACCGAGCCAACCATAGAAATAAAAATAAAAATAAAAATAAAACGTATTACGAAAATAGATGTAATACGGATAAAATAATATTAAATTAAGAAAATAAGATTATAAAAATAGAAATAAATAAAATATAATAATAATAAAAATTAAGAATTTCGGAATTAGTTAAATTCGGCCAAAAGAGTGTCCAAATCTAATTCCGGTAACACTCTAAACTAAAACATATAAATTTTGTATACATCTATGAAGAGACATCGAAAAAGTACAGATTACAGAAAATTTTGATTATAATAATAAAAAGTTTATTAAATTCGGACATGCATAATTATCAAATTAAAAAATCCATGAAAAAAAAAATCGAGACAAATTTTTTTTTACTCCCGTTTTAAAGCTGGATTGAATGGTGGTGATTTTTTAATAATATTTCAAATTTTTTAACTTTTGAGTATAAATGATCCGCACCATATGTACTTGATAAAAATCAGTAAATTCACATAAACATGTAAAATAAATTTTAAATATTATAAATCGCATACTGATTCATATTATAATCAAACATAAATATGTAAATTGACTGATCTTGGTTGTTTCAAATATTATATCGGAATGTAAGTAGTAAAAAAGTATTCAATTCATTTGTATGGCATCATTCTGATTTCAAATTGACACGAATTGGATTTCTATAAATCTGATTAATAGCAATTGGTATCAATTTAACTAATAACCATTTTTGTGCTGTTTGCTGTTAAGTGAACCTAAAGTTATTAAAAAACCAATTAACACTAATTGGCATGATATCCGTTCAGACATCATTCTACCAGTGCAGGTGGTTCTCAAAGAAGCTGACCCAAGAACTTTTTTTAAAATAAGGTGATGTCTCAAAATGTAAGCATGCATATTAGAATAATTTGATAACAATGTTAGATTAAATTTTATCAAATGTTGGTTGGAATTGAAAATAAAACAAAAATATGGTAATAATATTTTCTTATGCTTAAAAAGATGGTATTAATTTTATTCTAAATTGGCCAAATGAGTTTATCATGAGTGTGAAGATGTTACTGAATATATAAAGTTATTTTTAGAATTCATGCATGAAATGGTAGTTTAATTATTTTTTTCAATTATTTAAAGTTAAATAAATGCATGGTGACTTTTAATAAAACAATCAGTAGACTTAAATTAGAGTTTAGTGAAAATGTTTTTCATGATGCTCAAGTCATCACATGAACTGGAAAGAATCTGATTGTTGGTTGAATCTTGAACAGCTAATAGATAAAATAAGAAAAAAGATAAAGAATAGTAATTAACTTGACTTATTATTTTATAGATTGTTAAAGCCATACCAATTTTTGAAATAGAATAAATATCATTTGTAATTCAGAAAAAACAGCCAATTATGAGAGACACTGTTTATGGTATTTCCAAATAATTACACAGATGATAAATTATGTAAGCAATGAAGATAATGTTGGAGGAAAGAGGATTATGAAGGGTTGGCCTAAAAGCATTCTGTAAAACAAATGTTTAGTATATATTTATATTTGATTGCAATAAAAATAAACTACCTTTCATTATTATTTTCTTCTTACAAGTTTCTCTTGAAGAACCTTTGACTTGTTGCGTGAGGCATATCTCAGCAATCCAAGTTGTCTATAAAAAATCATGCTTGGAAAACATACGAAAAGCACACTGTTTTTCTGTGCAGTTTTCATTGAAGCAATTTAATATTCTACCCGAAACTTCATGGTGAACTCAACTACATGGAAATGTACCAGGATTGCTAATGATAT